CTGCTTGTGTTGAATACAGAAATTTTGGAAGTGGAATTTTCAGTACGTGGTACTTCTGTTGAGGTGTTAAAAGGTGTGATGTAACAGTTCTAACCAAGGGCATGATGTAGATTTATAAGACAACTGGTGTCCTAAACGCAAAAAGAAAACGTTAGAGAATATGGAGACAGCTTGCATTACATTTTTTTCAGTTAAACTTACTAATGTTCTGTACTTTTTTTCTTTGTTTTTTGCTATCATTGCTTGGTCGTGTGGTAAGTGCTCTCCACAAGTGCTAAGCTCAGAAGTCCTGCACAATCTAATACCTCTTCTGATAACTTGTAAGGTGTTACCTGGGAGGGGTCTGTCTTTCTAGCACTGTGAAAGTCAGCACTGGATTGATTTGTCATGTACCAGCTTGGTGCCTTAATTGTTGGGAATATCTGAATAAAATAAGTGATGTTACCTGTTCTGTTTAGAGCCTGGCAACTTTCAGTCTGAATTTTGGGATCCATCCTCTGTATCTGTGACACAGAATAGTGCTTCTGTGGGTCTCACTTCAGAACTTGTGTTTCTAATCCGATGCCAGGCCATTGTAACAACCCCAAAGGATTCTCCTGGAGGTCAAGTTTATCCTGGAACTCAACTTTTGGCCTCTTTTACATGGGCAATGATGAAATGGGGCGAAAGTAGATTTTTAAAACAGTGTAAATATAAATACTAATTACATAAATTGTAACATCAAAACATCAGCGCTGCCATTAAGTTTAGTTTTATGTAAGGAGTAATTCCAGCATTTTTGTCAAGAAAATCTAAAAGAGGATTCAAAAGCTGTTATTGGCAATGATGGGTGAAAAAGCTGAACTTGACCTACTTTTCATATGTTCCAGCAGCACGATGCTGTCAAATTTATGGTCTTCATATCAACCATGCAACTGCCCACCAAAAATATTAATAGTTGTGAGTGAACTTTTCTGATGAAATGTGTTCTCTTTATCTGAGCAAGTGGAGGAATGTGTTGTGGCTGTTGCTGTTGGACTTGGACCAGGTGTTGGATCAGTCTGGATGAATGGAGTGTCATTTTCCTCTCTAGGTTCAGGGAGTTGGAAGTAAGGGATGGCGAGACGTCACCACTTTCTTTTCTGGCAAACCAGATGATAATTCTGAAAGGTATTTTTTTATTTATTGTTATTTTCTATGTGTCTTTAAACCCATAATTTTGTGTCCTCTGCAGTATAGTAGTAGCAGGTAATTTTTAAATATGAAGAAATTACTCTGTCTTAGCTAGTAGTCCTCCTGTTTGTAACACAGGAGGAATTCAATCTAACTGTTTATGCCAATTCAGTTGTCGTGTTAATTTGTGCTAGGCTGAGAACAAACTAGTGCACCTTAGTTTTAATTTTTTTCCAAATGTGTTATCTGCCCTATCCCACACCTCAGGCCTATTAGTACTTAAAGCTGTTAACAAAAATCTGTCAATTAAAATATAAGCTTATGCAATCCGGAGAAACGTTTTAGTTCTTCTGCCTTCATCCTCAGTTTTTGTTTAAGCAAAGGCCAGTAGCATTATGGTTTACTCTGTTTATGGTCATTTATTGTTATGTTTGCCATAACTAATTTATTTTTGCCTCCCTTTCCCCCCCATCCACCCCCATAAAAGACCATCGGAGGGAGACAGCTACCAGAACAGTGGAGGGGAGGGCTACCAGAACAATGCTGTAGATCAAAGCTTCTGGGAGACCTTTGGCAACTCGGATCCACCAAAAGCTCAAAAATCTCCAAGCAGCGAGAGCTGGACCTATGTGGACAATTCCACAGAGAAGAAGAGCTCCGACAGCTGGGACGTGTGGGGCTCAGGAACAGTCTCCAACAACAAGAACAGTAACAGCGACAGCTGGGAAAACTGGGAGACCAACTGGGAAAACGCAGGAGGGGAGAGCAAGACCAAAAAACCTCCTAAGGCAACAAAAAAGGCGTCTTCAGCTGATGATGGGTGGGATAACCAGAACTGGTAGAACTCTGTTAACCCTGTTTTGCACAGCTAGGAAAGGGAGGCGACACTGGCTGAGTGAGGGGAGAAAGTTTTACACACAACTGGAGTATCTTGGTTGACCTTATTGATCTGTTACTTTTGTGCTTCCTGTCCATTCTCCTTTCTTCTATCCTGGTTTAGGAAAAAAAAAAGAAGAGTAGCATCTGAATCTTTTATTACATAAAGGTGGCCCTCCCTTTTTTTAAAGGATAGTGATAACTATATTCTCCTTGCACTATTGAAGCTGGGTACAGTGATTTTCTTAATGTGAATGTTCAGTGCAAGCACACTTCTCATGGCACAACCTTGCATGTGTAGGTTAATAGGTGTTCATCCAGTCCTCATATCATTTGAGATGACCTGAGGTGTTTAATGCAAAGGACAGGGTGTGTCTTGAACAGATAGCCATTAAATCACTTAAATCAGCAAACTGCAGTTGAATAGAGCTAGTTTCAAATGCCTTATGGATTGCTCTGACCATACAAAGTCTGGCAATTCAAGATGGTCTTTTAAGATACTTTTTATTGGAGCTTTGATTTTAAACTTCATGAGTTTTCTTTTTTTTTTTTTTTTAATCTTTTAAAACTTACTTTCTCCCCTTTAGAATTAATAAGGAATCTAGAGGTAGATAACTGTTTTGTAAACTCAGAGCCACTCTCCTTCATGGGCAAAACGCAAAGCCCTGGTGTTCTCCTTCCTTCTCTACTCCCTTCCCCCACTTTGAGTATTTTATAAAGAGTCTGGATTTTCTCTGTCTGTCTTCCTTTTACCCACCTCTTTTATCTATTCTGATAAAAATGAAATCTTTCTGCTGCTTAGGGCCTTTCAGACATCTGTTTGGCAGCTTGGCAGTCAAACAAATGTATTAAGAAAGATTCCAGTAAGAAAAAATGGGTGGAAAATATGAGAACATTGAGGAGAGAGGCTGGCAGCAAGCCCCTCTCAAGATGAGTAAATGTCTGGATTTAATAGTAAATTTAAATTAAGCAGATGTTTTCCAAATTAATCTTTAATACGTCCAACTGTATCTATCATGTATTTCTCTACGTTTTCTTCCTGGATCTTGTTAAAGAAACACTATTTTGGAAACTCCTCGTCAGCATTAAGGAATGGAATAGAAGGTTCACTTATGTCTCAGTTTTGATCCAACAAGTTGCTTTGCATGACAGAAACTGTAACTTCTACAGAAGAACTGTGACTTTAGCGACAAAGGTGTCCTGTGTATCCCATTTTATTTTTTGGGTGGGTTGTAAATGTACACTCAGCCCCAAAACAATCAGCTCACTTGAAAACATCAAATCAGGATGTTGTGTAATCTGCTTTACTACAGCGTGGAGTTCTTGGCTGTGGGCTCTGTAAATCTTAATACAGACCTAAAGAGCCTTTTCTTTTTAAAATTATTAATTGTTCAAGCAACCAACCAACCCGAGTTGTCAAAGTTACCTTAAATAATGCTTCGTTTCTTTCTTCTCTTCGCAGAAGTTTTTGAGCTTATAGTAATATCAAGTGGTTAAAAAGGAAGGAAAATCATGAATTGCCTCAAAAGTAGCAGATTTTGTAAAGGCTTAAATCTTAGTAGAAGCAGCTCTATTTATTAGCCTGATTATTTCTATTAGTAGGATCTTTCAGATGGCGAACAGAGTATTTTTCTAGTCTTCTCTAGCCCTGTCCTGCAGAGTTGGTATTTCTTTTTATTTTTTTGTTTCCCCCCTTGCTCCTGCTGACGGCGGGGTCCCTGATCCTGAGCCCTCCTCCAGGCTGAGTGGCCCCTCCTGGTGCTTTGGCAGTGCCGAAATCCTGAGAGATCTGGGTGGACGATGCTGTCTGTGGTACCCTTGGCACATGTTTCCAGCCCGACTGTAAAATAAGGGGTTTGTTCTGCTTTTTCTGCTGTTCCCAGTATACCTTTGCCATAGCTTAATTGCATGTCGAACCGAACTTTGTATTTTTCTGCGTACACCTCTGTTTCCTCCTCGTTGTTTGTCCCCTGCCCTGTGTGGGTCAGTGATGCGTGGGCTTTGGAGGCGGTGGGTGTCTGTGCCACTGCCCCATCCTCTGCCAACGGTTTCTCTTGGTGAAATGTTGCAGTGCCAGCTGGGGACAGCAAAAGGCATCCCCTGGGTTGTGCAGTCCGACTGCCGCTGTCTCTCTGGAGTGATGTGAAGCTGGCTCAGCTTCCTGTGTACAAATTATTACGGTTTCTCTTTTGTAAACCTCCTGAAATAACTCATAGCAGGATAAGTTTTCTTTCAGTCCATTCAGGAAACCATATTGTGATGTGTATGTGTCCCTTCTCCTCAGCTGCGGGGTTTATTTATATATCACTTGCAGCTACAATCAGCATGAGCCATTTCTTCGTTCTTCTGGTTTTATTTTTGCATCTCTTGAGCCTTTATGTTCTAAATTAAACTACCAGGGCCTTACTCAGGCAGAAGCTTTGGGTAACGATTTTTCTTCCAGCTGAGGAGGCAGTGACAGAGCAGTTGCCATCTCTCTTTTTGCAGTGCTGTAGAGAGGCAACAGGATGCTACAACTCCCAGGAAGGTGTTGATGGAAGATACTAAAAATTAATATTATGGTAGAAAGTGTAACTGCAGCCACAGAACTAGTGTATCAAGTGGGCTGTTAGTCAGGCAAATTGGTATTTTTTTAATGACTTGTCTGAATCGGAGTGTTTTACCGTGTCTTCCAGAGGAGAGGATGAAATGAGGGCATTTTCTTTTGCAAAGCCTCTGTCGTATCGGATTTTAGGGGCTTTTTTAGAGTAGGTGGCCAGGAAGTCTCTGCAGTCAAGGCGCATGTGTGGAGCGAGTGGTTATGAATTCGACCTTTTTGTTTTTACCCCCCTCCTTTCCCCAGTTCCCCTTGTTTTGGCCCGATGGTGAGCTCTGTGATCAGAGGCATTGAGTGCATCCTGGTGGCACTCTGGCCACCCATCCAAGTGATGATGTGGTCATTGAATCTGTGTCAACGTGAGGATTGGTGAGGCTGTAGTGTCACCATCTGCTTCACCTCTTTGGGGCGTGAACGAGGCTCCACTTCCCTTTCAGTCCCACACCACAAATTAACAATTTTAAGTTGTACAAGCCAAAGGCCAGGAGAGAGCGCAGAAGGTGGAATGAGAACTGCAACAGTTGGACATTGCGATGTTTGGTTTAAATTTCCTGGTGTTTCAGACTGGTTTATTCCTTCCTATGGCTTCAACTTTGGAAAAGACAGAGCAGCTGGATTCCTACAGGTGGTCTGAAATAAGGAAAGCATCAAGACACTCAAACTAAGTGCCACTTCAAGAGTGGAAGTTTTAGAGAATGTTCCTGAACCAGGAACCTAATCCTAGGAATTAGGGATTATTTTAAAATGTTTTATTTGCGTCTCAAAATCTGTTAATAATTACAACATTTCAAGAAGTGCTTGGCCAGCTCTCCCTCATGGTTGAGACCTCAAGGATAGTGCTGCTGCCTTTGTTTTCCAGGCCGGACTGTGTAGCATTCCATGGGTTCATAATGTATTTATCAGTGTAATGATCTGTGCAATAATTTAACAAGTGTAGGTAAAACCTTTGTTGTTTAATCCAGGATACATTTAAAGATACAGTGGTCCTCTCGGAGAACAGCAGCCTCCCAATGTATTACTTTGGCACTCTCGGAGAACAGCAGCCTCCCAATGTATTTCGGTTCTGGCCTTACTTTTGGCCATATGAAATTTTGGTAACCCTGTTAGGAAAGGTTTATCAGCAATCAGTGATTTAAACAGAAATCAAGAAACATTTTGATGTCCATTATATTAGAGTTCGATTGTGACAGCTCAGTGACCTCTACTTGTAGAGCCCCCTCTCGTTTTCAGGCCAGCAGAGTGTTGCTCAGTATGGAATACTGTATCTTTAATTTTCCTGATGTGTTTTTTGTGACGTTCACAGGAACGGTGATTTCGGTGAACACTATTCATTGTTCTGTAGAGTGGTACCCGACTTGAACTGCAGTGTCATCTTTCAAAGAGCATTATAATAAAGCAAAGAGATACGGAGCAGAACGGTGTTCAGCCCTTTTTCAGGAGAATTCAGTAAATTTTGAGCCCGTGTACATTAGTATAAGCTTATGTAGCCTTTTGAATGAAGTAAGTTAGTGTGGTTGGCATTGCAGAGTAACCTCAAAATGGGTTGCTTTGTAATTAAGGAAGTGGGAAAGTATTATATGGTTATGAAATTGTCTTGTTGGAGGAGAGTAAGAGAGCCCTGGTGCCAGTAATGAGGGGGGAAGGAAGCTCTGGTGCTGGCCATGGAGCCAAACCCTGCTGTTTCATCTTTATCCCTCATTGGCGTTTTATAATTGAACTTTAAATGCTTTAAATTTAAGATCTATTTGAATTAAGAACAGTTTTAAGACAACAGTGGTTGCTTCCTTTATTTAAAGATGAATTATATCTGAATCTCGGTGCCAGTGGGAAACCCTCGTGCTGTGAGTCGTTGCCCAGGACCAGTAAACATTCCTTGAGCTGTTTTCCATTTGCTTGTGTGGTCTTACCACGAGGTTGGCTCTGCAGGGTGCCTTCTTGGGCTGAAACTCCTCTGGATCAGTCCCAGTGCCAGCCCTCTCTCGTGCTGGTTGCGGTGAAGGACTGGGAGAAGGTCCCAGCTCCCAGGGAAGGTGCTGCTTTTGGAGTTTGTGGCCAGAGGGACGTTGTTGGTGAAGTCTCACTTCTCCTTCCTTCCTCTAGAGGGGATGGTGTTACTGTGTGTGGCTGTTGGAGGAACCTCGCTGAAATGAGGTGGATGTAGGGTTAGAAATATCACAGAATCACAGAATCTTCTAGGTTGGAAGGGACCTTAAAGATCATCTTGTCCAACTGTCAACCCAACTGACAAAAATAGACACCCGCACAACAAACAAGGGGTATCATCACTAAACCATACCTCCCAGCACTACATCAACCCGTCTTTTGAACACCTCCAGGGATGGTGCCTCCACCCCCTCCCTGGGCAGCCCATTCCAATGCCTGAGAACCCTTTCAGTGAAAAAATTTTTCCTAATATCCAGCCTGAACCTCCCCTGGCGCAACTTGAGGCCATTTCCTCTTGTCCTGTCGCCTGTGACTTGAGAGAAGAGACCGACCCCCACCTCTCTACACCCTCCTTTCAGGGAGTTGTAGAGAGTGAGAAGGTCTCCCCTCAGCCTCCTCTTCTCCAGGCTGAATAACCCCAGTTCCCTCAGCCTCTCCTCATAAGACTTGTGCTCCAGACCCCTCCCCAGCTTTGTCGCCCTTCTCTGGACCCGCTCCAGCACCTCGATGTCTTTTTTATGGTAGGGGGCCCAAAACTGGACACAGTACTCAAGGTGAGCCCTCACCAGTGCCCAGTACAGGGGGAAAATATGTTCCTGAGCTTCTCCACAGCCCCTTCCCATCCTCTGCCTTTGACTTCTGTGCTGCGTTGAACCTCCACGATGTGAATTCCTCTCCTCCAGCCACACACACGTACCCCTCTGCTTTTACTGGCTGCCTGTGGTTTTTATCTCCCCCTTCCCTGGCTGAGTGGCCAGGCTGGATGGGGACAGTTTAAAGCTCAGGCTGGGACAAATATTGCAGGTTCTGGGCTGTGACATTAACCCCTGTTGTCCTGGCCCTTTGCTGTGTGACCAGTGTAACTGCCCTTTCTTTAGGACAAGGAAGGAGCAGACCCGTGGTACGGAGCTGGGACAGGGCTGTCCTCTCCATCACTCCTGGTACAGGGTGGCCCAGCAATAGCCAACAGATCCTGTCAATGGATTGTGGTAGGATCACACTTATCCTGCCAGGAGCCATCCCTTTGGCTGTCGGGTGAAGGCTAATTATAATGTAATTTGCACATTGCCATTACAGCATGAGACTGGAGACTCACCCACCTCGGAAGCTTGAGGGTTCCTTCTTGTGTGGGTCCAGAATTGGGCACTGTGTGTTTTGTGGGGTGTCTGGTGTGGCCTTGACCCAGGTTGGGGTCTCCAGCGCGGTGGGGAGCTGGGAGTACAGCTCTGCAGCCCGTCCCTCCTGGGAGGCTTCTGTGGAGTAGGACCAGCAGAGGGGCATCTCACGAACCCCCAGGGTCTGGACTGGGAGGTCTCCATGTCCCCATCAGTGGTCTGCAACACCCATTTTTGATCTTAAAAACCACACAGAAGAACCTCACCCTTGGGGTGAACAGGGGGAATGAAACTCATCTGGTTTGTGTCGAAGCCTCACACCCAAGCTCTGGGGTGGGAGCTGAGGGACTATTGGTAGTTTTGAATGTTTTGTCTCCCAGCTGCTGAGGAATGGGGAAGTGAGGGTGGCACAGGTTCCGTGGCTGGTTGCATAAGAGTGTTTTGTTTGTTGTTGTTGTTCTTTGGTTGTTCTTTGTTTTCATTTTTCCAATAAAAACTTTCATTAGTTCATTATGAAGGTAAGTATTTGGTGGTGTTTTCATTAAAGCTGCAGGTCCTGAAGCAGTGCAATTGTGGGAGGACTTAATTTTTCAGGCTTTTGGGGTTGTTTCTTTGTTTGGGTGGGTTTGTGGTTTTTTTTTTTTGCAAGCTACAGTTCTATTCTTTGTAGTTCTGGAGAACAGTGACTGAGCTCTAATTGTTTAAAATCTTAATTTGCTGTTTTGAAGCCAGCCAGAGTGTTTTAACTCGCATTTAATTGCTTGGGGTTAACAGTCCTTGTCTGTGGAAAGAAGTGATATTTATTGCTCTAACATCCAAATTTATTTTCTGGAACAAAACGAAGGACACTCAATGACACGAGAGCTCCCGCTTAGATTTATAACAGGCTGATGAGAAATTGCTGAATAACTTGCTCATTTGCTGCCCCTGGAAGGTAATAAATCTTCCCAAACTTCTCAGGTTTAAGGAAAGCTGCTTGTTATCAGCTCCCAGTGCAGAAAAGGAGGGGTGTCCGTGGTGCCCCCCACTTCCCTGGTGCACAGCGACCTCAGGGCTGGCTTTAATGGCTACGAGCCCATTCCCCTGCCTCCCTTTGCATGAGAGATCTCCACTCGAGGTGCTCCCAGTGTTGCTGATCTGCTATTTTAACTGGTTTTCCGTGGAAGTGTTTGCCATGAGGTGGCCTCCAGGGTTTCTTGTGGCACTGACATCAAGGAGTTAAGCACCAAATAGCCCCGGGGGGGTGGATTGGGAGCTTTACAGCCAAATATAAACTTCATTTCCCTGGCTGGGGAACAATGCTGAGCTCTCTGCTGCCCAGCCCTGCTGTGCTGGCTGATCTCCAGCCCAGGTGAACACACCTTACTGGGGACCAGCGCTTGTCGCTGGGGAAAATGGTCTCTGGTGAGAAGAGTTTGCTGTCAGCTGGCGTGGGATGGGCTTGCTCCCTCAGAGGAAACGCAGGAGCTGCAAAATCAGGGATTTTATTGTGTTGATGTTGGCTGTGAAATTTTTTTTCTTTGTGTGTGTGTGTCGTAAGCTGAATCAAAACCCGTGTGCAGGGTGAGGAGCGGTGGCTGGTGGCCAGCTGCAGGCTGTTGGCACCCTGTGTGCCAGCTCCCAGCAGGAAAAATCCGAATCTCTGCCTGCTGCCAGGCTCTGCTGCCCTGCGCTGGAGGGTTCCTGCAGCTCTCTGCTTCCCTGCTTGAAACGTGGAGCCTGGGCTGCTGTGAGGAGGGCAAAATTTGGGCAAAGGACCATGGCAAACCTTGCCATCATTGAGAACGATGAGTGTGTGACAGCTTGTGGTGTCCTCTCTGCTCACTCCTGAGGAAAAGGAATAGTTTAGAAACAGTTTTTTATCTTTTGACAACTTATGCATTTATAATTTAAAACCAAACTCATTTAATTCCTTTTCCTCAGCCCTGCTTGGGGAAAAGAAGAAGAAAAATCCCCCCATAAAGAATAAATAATAAGGGGCTGCTAAACCTTCTCCTTCATGTTGTAATGATGTTGGGAGATGAAGAAGAGACCTGCCTGTACCTGGGGGTGCCTCTGTCTTTTCTGAGCCCTTAATGAGTCAGAGGATTTACTAATCTAGTGAAACAGGAAAATTCAGCCACTACAGTTCTTCCAGAGAGGAGACCCAGCTGATGTGACTGCAGAGCCATGTGTTCATGGTATTTGGACTCCAAAGCCACACTATGACTAGCACCTTTCAGCTGTAGATCTAGCTGATTGCTAATTAAAATCTGATGAATCCCTGCACATATGGGGAGTGGGGAAGATGTACCTGGGGATATGTCAGCCCTGAAGTGCTGTCACCTCCAGGACGGAGCCGTCAGCTTTGGGGAAAGGTGTCGCATCTGCAAAGGATGCTCCTGAGGTTAAATCAGAACTTGGTGCTGGGAGCACGGGGCACACCTGGCTGTGGTTTAACATCCCTTCTCCTCTCAATTGATGAGGTGCTCTTCCCCCTAAATGCCAGTGTATTAAAAAAAAATGAAAAAAACACAACAACACAACCCCCCAAGGCTGTGATATTCCAACTGCTTTGCTGATGGAGAACAGAAGATCCTCCAGGCTGGGATCCTTGCTCTGGTGTGGACCAACAGCAGATGCCAGGGAAAGAGGATAAGAAAAGGTGAGTAACCCCTCCACTAACATATTCGTGTGGCTTCCAGCAATGGAGATAGAAATAAGCACCTGGATTACCATGTTTAATATCAAGACCTGTCCTTCATGAATTTACCTAATCCCTGTTTTAATTCATTTACATTTTGAGGCCTAATATCCAGTGGTGACAAATTGCACATTTTTAGGGACTGGAAGGGGCTCTGAGGTCTCCCCGGAGCCTTCTCTTCTCCAGGCTGAACCCCCCCAACTCTCTCAGCCTGTCAAGGAGTCTGTGCTGTGATGGGGACAGTGGTGGCATGGGCAGATTTGGGGAGCTCTCCCCAGGGCACACGTCCCCGTTCTGAATTCTGAACCCCCCCAGCTCTCTCAGCCTGTCAAGGAGTGGGAGCCTGTGCTGTGATGGGGACACTGGTGCCATGGGCAGGTTTGGGGAGCTCTCCCCAGGCACACATCCCTGTTCTGAATGAAGGATGTCACAGCAGTGACAAGGGACAAGCCCTGCCTGCCCGGGGAGCACCTTCAAGGCCCTTTTGCTGAGACTGGCACGAACACACCAGCATCAGGGATGTTGGGAGCAAGATTCCAGGAGACAGCCCGAGAGCTGCTGGCCACAAGCACAAGGAGAGTCTGTTTTCCTGCATTTATGGGATGGTGTGATCAGCAGGACACGGGAGGGAGACGCTCCAGGAGAGCCTGGATAGAAGGAGCCTTGTTGGTGCAGCCCATTGCTGCTGCTCTCCACGCAGCCGGGCTGTTTGACTTGGATGGGAGCACGAGAGTGGGATTTGTTCAGCCCCAGTAGCTCCACTTCTGCTCCTTCATCAGCAGAGCCAGCTGTGATGCTGGCTGGAGGAAGACCTGCCTGCCTCCATCTCCAGCAGTGCCTTCACCCTCTGCCCCTTCTTCCTTTTCTCTCTGCCCCCATCTCTGCAGGGATAGAAACACCTTCTGCCACCTCCTCTCCCCCTGCTCAGCCTGTGCTTTGTGCTTGGCCATCTGGAGATGGGCAACGTGGGCCCTGAAGGCTCACACAGGTGGTGTGAGCCTCCTGACATCTCTGGTGGTGGCAGGAGCTTGTCCCATCCAGGTGGGCAGTGGTATCCTCTGTGGCAAGGCCTGTGCCTGCATCCTGACCAGCAGAAAGGATGCAGAGGTGGAACAACTGGTGGAAATCACTGAAAGCCTGATGTAGGGCTCTGCTATGGGGCAGAGGGTTCTCCTCATTCTCTTTTGGTAGATTTCATCCCTCTTCTGTGTTCCTGAGGTCTGGCCCTTTATGCCAGCCTGTGTTTTTCACTCCTACTTTACCTAATGGAAATATAATTGCACATGCATCTGATGTTAATGGTGGTTGTAATTAACCATCTCCACATCCCGGCTTCCTCTGCCTGTTTCTTTGCCAAACCCTATTGCTCTCAGGTCAGCTCTGGCCTGCAGAAAATGTCTCAAATAGTGGAATTGGCTGGTAGCAGGTGAGGCAGGTAGACCAAACCCTATTGCTCTCAGGTCAGCTCTGGCCTGCAGAAAATGTCTCAAATAGTGGAATTGACTGGTAGCAGGTGAGGCAGGTACTGTTGCAGGGAGGTTGTAAAGGCTGTAGCACCATCCAGGCAAACAGCTTGGCACCAGCAGAGTCCCAGACTCATCAGTGCCAGCTCTTGCTAATTACAGCCTGTGCTTCTCTGCCCAACCCCTGTGACGGCTGCTGCGATGAGGAAGGGCTCAAGCTGCTCTGCTCCCACTTTTAGGGAGTGTTGGCCGTGGCTTTGGATGCAGCCCACGCTGGGGAGAGGTGGAAACCCTCCGGGAAGAGCCTGGGATGGAGCCACGTGGGGAATGGCAGATCTCAAACCCTTCACGGGGAAGTTACGGTGTGAGGAAGGAATTGCTTTGTCCATCTTATCAAACCACTCATCCTACAGCTTGTGTCTGCCCGGACCCTGCTGGAGTCACCTACACAGAGCCAGCAGAGGGGATGCTGTCCCCGAACTGCCACCTTCCCGGCTCCCAGCTGAAGCCTGGCTGGAGCCCAGCGGGTGAGAAACCAGCAAAGCCAGCATCACGTTGCAGGAGGCTCCTCCTTCCTCCGGAGAGGGAAGGAGAGGCGGGGAGCTGGAGCCAGCAGCTCCAGGCTGCCTACCTGCACCTCGCCAGCCGGGCTGGGGACCGCGCTGGGGGTCAGCATCTTCTCCACCCGCATCCCATGGGGTGTGCGGGGCCTCTGGAGCTCCCTGATGCTCCCGGGAGCATCTCCCCACCGCCTCCTGCATCCAGCCCGGCATGGAGAGCCTGAGCAACAGCCTGAAGAAGAAAGCCACGGAGCAGCACTACAGGGCAGAGGTGATGATTGCTGGAGAGCAACTGAGGTAGGAGGTGGTGGGGCCCCTCCTCTGGGCTGTACCCTGGGGCTCCGGGTTGTACCCCATTAGCAGGAGACTCAAAGCTTTCTCCTGGAGCAAGTGCTTTCCCCCCACGTGCTGGTGTCTCCCCTCCCCAGTACCTGCTGGTCTTTCCTTCACCCACCACCAGTGATGAACCAGGTCCTTGCCTGTGTTTCCTCCTCTCTGGGCATCTCCTGCCCTCCACCTCCAGGTGCCAGGGGGGCTGGCAGGTGGCTTTAGATGGTAACAGGGTTTTTAAATCCCTTTGTGTCCTCCCCTAAGCCCAGAGCCTGATGTGGTGACACTGAGCAGCCTCCCCAAGGTCCCTGCTCCTTGGGGGCAGCTCTGCCTCCGGGGGTGTTTGGACTTTTTGGGATGATTTGGGAGGTCACCCCATGGGTGTCGTGCACCCGAATTGGTTTGCACAGCAGCATGGAGGGTCTTCCCTCACTTCAAAGTCCCTTTTGGTAGCTTCTGCTGGTCTGTAGTCCAGTCCAGTTCTTCAGCAACTTCTGAGATATTTTTTTTTCCTTACGAAGATAGAAATATATTGTCCTATGCAAGAAAACCTGTGTGGCTGAGAAAACATATTCTCTGTGTATCTGAGGCCAGGACCTTCTAAGCATGCGACTGTAGGATATTTTAGCTCTTGAGCAGAGTTTGCTTGTTTGTATCTGGAGCCGTTCTGTTTTGTTTTGAAATGTGGGTGGAAAATAGGAAATATACCCTTGAGTAACGTAAAGAGCCCAAGTTTGCTAGCATTAGATTCCTAAAATTAGCTCTGTGTCTCTGTGTTGTCCACTCTCAGTGAGTCATGTTAGCTTTAGCTTTATTATTTATACTTTACCAAGGACTGATAACTTCCAACTAAGGGTTAGGGCCACATTTTGAAAACACAGCCAGTGTCCAAAGTGGCTGGATTTTAAATACTCAGTGATGGTTAGCCACGCTTCCAGCCTATTGTTTTTCACAAATATTACTCTCCTAGCTCCAGAAATTAAATCTTTTCCTTAGGCAGTGACTGGGAGAGCTGCTGTTGGGAGTGGAGGCTGCAGTAACCTTTCTGCCTTTGCAGTGTTTGCAGGGAGGCTTTGAAAATGGGCTTAACTCTCTTACAGGGAGAAGCAGCAGCTGACATGAATGACTTGTCTCATTTCAGTAACTCAGGGCGAGAGATGTAAAGTTATGACTTTTTCCATCCCGTGGGCAGGACAGGCTTATTCATATTTATATTTCCAGTATTTTACTCCTCTGGAGTGACTGAGGTTTAAAATAGCCTGGGCCAAAGGAGGTGGGGTCAGGTGTTTGGAAAGGAAATAAATTCATCAAGCCATGTGTGGAAGCTGTGATCAGCACACGTGTGAGGGGAGCGACACACCTTTTGCAGGACAGGAGTGTTTCAGATCCTGGACCATTTGGTGATTGTGACTGGAAGGAGGAGAAGGGGATGTAATAAATATTTGTGAACAGAGCTCTTCTGCCATGCCATACGCTACTTCCTATAAGCGAGGAAAAGGCATAGGACAAATGTTACACTCTGCCAAAAACCAATAATACCAACTCATTTTTCCCTCCCAACATTTGTCTGGAAACTTCACTTTTTATTGTCAATGTGAATGTATCTTTAAAAAAGGATGCTGAAAGCTTGAAGGGAGGCGAGGTTTGTGCAGGGAAGGAATATCTTTCCATCAGTGTGACTGTGTTGAATAAACTGTGGCTGAAGTTGAACAGAAAAACCCAAAATGTATGTAGCTTTGAGGGCACCCATCTTTCCCCCACCCCCCTTCCATAGCTGGGGTGGCTGGGAGTTTCCTGGTTAGGGAGCAGCAAAAATCTGAGGGTTTTCAGACCGAGCCCATGGCACCACAATCTCGAATTGCTTGCTCTGATTCAGTTTGCTGCCCCAGGATGAGCCTGATGCAGGTTGTCCCTGCTGGAAGGGGGGACAGGAGGGGTGGGAAGCACGAAGGAGAGGAGAGATGAGGTGAGAGCTCTCTCCTCGGAGCCTGGCGTGTGTTAAAACTGGGATGCTGGGAGACACGGGCTGTTTTGTCAACACGGCAGAGCAAGGAGCGACTCCATCTGCTTTTGGGCAGCCCTGGCTGCTCCCTGCCCCTGACCTGCTCTTGGGAGGCTCGAGATCTTTGTTGCGTGGAGAGGAGCTGTGTTTTGTGGGTGGTGGGTCTAAAGGCCAAGAAAGGACCCCAGCACTCCCAGTGATGGAGAGGTGGGTCCTTTTGCTGGTGGCTTGGCCCACAGCAGTCACATCCTTCTCTTTGGTGTGGGCAGGAGCCTGTTCCCTGTGCAGAAAGGCTGGGAGGAGCTGCTGGTCCCAGCACAGGGTGTAAAACCCGGGCAGGAGGGTGAAGAGATGGACACCAACCTGCAGCTGAGCTCCTCCATCCCCTGCAGCTCCTCTGGCTGAAAGGAGGCTGGAGTGATGCTGAGCAGAGCACGCTGAGTGCTTGACTCTCTCTCTTGTGTTTTGGGGATCCTGTGGCCTGGCAGGTAAGGGGTTAGTGATATGAATTTCCCTGGGACCCACCTGTCCAATAGGTAGGGATGGGGAAACTGAGGCAGAGAGGCTGGATGATGTCTCGGGCAACGGCAGATGGGTCAGGGATAAATGTCCGCATCATTCTCCCCTGCTTTTCTCCAGGTAAGGAATAAAGCAGCACGTAAAGGAGCCTTGTGGTCTGCCCTGACTCTGTGAATAGCAAATAATGCTGTTATATCTACATAAATTCTCAAACATTTGTTTTTCCCCTCTTCTCCACCCCCCCCCCCCCCGGCTATTGTATTTAATCAAACAAACCTTTGCTCCATCCTTACAGTTCTTTGGCTTCCCAGCAAGTTTGCAAATCCCTTTGAGTTTGGTTTGGCCGGAGGGATGAGTCTGGTCAGTGTCAGGATGAGTTTCCCAGCCAGAAATAGCAGCAGAAGTGAGGGGTGAGGAAATGCTTCGTTTGGGGTTTCCTGGGAACAAAACAGATCCCAAAGAAATTGAGGGGAGAGCGGCTGCTGTGCTTTGGGCTGTCCATCTGCCAGGGCCCCTTCACTTCCACGGGGATGCTGCTTTCTGGTCCATGGAGGGGATAAAGGAGTTTTGGGTCTTGAGTCTCTCCCCATCAAAAAGATGAAGATGATAATTTCCATTCATAATTTGGTCTTGGGTTTGAGGAGGCGGCTGTCTCAGGCTCGATCCTCACATCTCCTGTTGTCAGTCTTTTTGTTTCATATAAACTTGCATGAAAATCACACTAGTTTCACTGGGCGTTGCGTTGTTCCTGGGTGGCGTTCTGTAAAAGAAGCCCAATTAGTCATTTCTAATTGCAACAAGTGGCTTATCTGTACAGAGATATTCTGGAACAGCTACCGCGCTTTGAATTCACACCCTGCTCTAATCTGAGTTTCTCAAGTGTAGGCAAGCCCTTGTGCAGTCTCTTCTGGGTATTCCTCATGGGAAGTGAACAACCTCTTCTCTAATAACTCTGTTAAACTGCATTAATCACTCTTAAATGTAAAATGTACTTGGTAAATTTATATCTTGGGCAGAAAAAGTGAGAGGAGAAGGAATATAAATATAGAATGGTTTAGATTGAAAGGGACCTCAAAAAATCATTGAGTTCCAACCCCCTGGGCAGGGACACCTCCCACCAGCCCAGGTTGCTCCAAGCCCCCTCCAACCTGGCCTTGAACCCCTCCAGGGATGGGGCAGCCACAGCTTCTCTGGGCAACCTGGGCCAGGCTCTCACCACCCTCACACCAAAGAAGTTCTTCCCCAGATCTCATCTAAATCTCCCCTCTTTCAGTTGCTGTTTTTAACTGAGCACTTAGTTCTTTGTTTATTGGGAGTTGTGGGTTTTTTTAGTGGTGTTTTTGTGTTGTTGTTGTTTTCTGTAAAGATAGGAACGGAAAAGATCCTTTGAGTGACGCATTTTTCCAGGGCCATTAGTTTGAACTTAACTGCTGTGGGAATGTGAAGCAGAGTTAATATCCTTGAAAGATCCACCTTGGCAGTTGATACGCTCAAGGTCTGTCCCCGTGGGCAGGAGGTGAAGGAGAGTGCCCCAGGGGGACATTTCCACTCTGTGCAGGGACGTGTGAGTTCTTGGTGCAGAACAACCATCGCTTTAGGGGTTGCTCTGCCTGTGCAAGGACGATACAGTAGAAGTAGCAACTTTTCCAATAAGAGACAGCCCTTTGCTTTGGCAAATGCCCCGATCCAGGCTCTGTTCTGAAACTGCGTAAAATGTGAATATGCAGAAGTAAAGAGAGGAGCTGCTGGGTTGGTCTCCAGCTGTGGACACCAGTAACGCTGCTGGGAGAACACTGGGCTGCTGGAGGAGCAGGGAAGTCCTGCTTGTGATGGCTTAAGTGACTTAAACTCTTAGTTCCCTAGAGGTTTGTGTTCTGGATTTTCTTCTTTTCTCCACTGTTTACACTGCTGCGGATCTCCCTTTCAACAAGGTTACACAGGATGAATAATGGTGTCTTTGTAGTGACCTCGACAAAGAAACAATTTGGTTACCCAACACAGCCTACCCAAACCAATTCATGTGAAATCAGTGCTCCAACTGCCAAGTAAGGAGTGTTTCACAGGAGCTGATTCTCGTGTTCCAGCAAGCATTTTATCCTTGCATTATTCTGCTTTTATTTCTTTTTTTTTCTTTCCTTTTGAAGAAGTAATATGTACATGGGGCAGGTTTTGGCATCTAGAAAACTCATAATATTACATTACACATCCTTCTTTACAATTTTTTTTTAATCTGGAATCATGATTATAAACCACTCATAGTTTCACTGGCTTTGTTTTTGCAACGTTCTACACGGACTGGTTTATAGAGGGTGTCAGTGGAGCTGTTGGAAGATGCAGTTGGTGCTACGTCCTTCTGTGCCTGAAGGACAGAATTTGTCTCCATGTAGTTGATGGGAAACAGTAAACAAGAGGAAAGTGAAAAGACCACAAGGAGACCCTAACTCTGCATCTTCCTCTGTTCTGGGTCTGCAGGCGAGAGGGCAAACATCACAAACTTAAACCAGCCCTAGAATGTCCACGACACTGCTGCTCTAGAGGTGCTTAAACACCACTTAATTCCTATCCTGGCAATTGTTCCCAATAGAATAGTTTCAGAATAAGTGTATTTGAAATTTTATTATTTTTTTTTAACCTTAGGTTTTAGTAGTGTTGTTTGCTAAAAACCTTTTTTTTTTTCTTTTCTTTCCCCCCAAGATTTGTGCATTGCCTGAAGTATTCTGAAACGTGATAAAAATAATAGTTTCCCAACCAGTTTCTATTCAGGCCGTATGAAATTATGTGTTATTGGGCGTAAAGAATAGTTTCCCAACCAGTTTCTATTCAGGCCTTACGAAATTATGATCTATGTGTTATTGGGTGTAAAGATATGTGTGTGTATGTAGGTATGTATGTGTATATATGTGTGTATATATATATATATGTAGTCTTTATAGACTCCTGCAGACTCTTGATAGCAGCAGCGTACTCTTGGTTAAACATTTCTTATCTCTACCAAACATGCCTCTAAAGTGGTATCCCACTTGCTGATTACTAAGGAAAGAAAGTGTATAAAAAAAGAGTGCTTGTCTTCTCTCCTGGCAGAGGGATGTGGGCATCTCTCTGTTTGCAGTTGCTGCTTTCTGGGTCTGATTGTATTTTGACAGCAGACCGTGAAATAAAGGAAAAAGCTAAAAACTCTAAAAATAGCAGGCAGCTGTGTGGTGTAGGGTGGTCTGCTCTGTTCAGGTAAAATCTCTATGTGAAATGACTGCTTGTGGGAATAAATCTTCCAGGTAAAGAGAGTAAAATACTTAATATAGACTTCAGTACTTGAGAGAGGCCAGTCAAAGGCAAGACCAGGAGCTGGTTCTGCGTGAATAATTGGGTTAGTTTTTTAGTTGCCTGGAAGGTCTGAAAATACATCATTATTTTGACTCATAGGAGCCTGAGCATTAATTACATCAATCAATTGCTAATATTCATTCAACAGAAGTTTTTAACTTAAGACTTTCAAGACCCTAGCGTTTGTAAATCCTATGATAGAGGATAATCCATTATTATCCAGCAGATTTTTAGGTTATTTAGAACTTCTCATATGGTGCCTGAAAGCCTTGTCCAACATGACGTGGTGTTCACATAACTTCTTCAAAAAGAACAAAAGAACGTGAGGCATTAAATTAAGAAAAGTTGCAGTGATTAATACCTTTGTAAAATATACTGGCCTGGGGCAAACCTATGAATTGAAATGAATAATTTGAAAGCAGCAACATCCTGGAATTACAGAGGAGATATTAATTAAACATCTCCCCTCTGAGTCTGCTGCATGCACTGGGCATTTTCCAGGGTTAGTATTTTGGGAACAGTCATGACTGCAGGGCAAAAGTTTGGCTCCTGGACAGATCTCCTGCCAAGTTGGGTTGGCTTTGGCTTGAACACAGAAGATCTCTGTGCCTTGTGGCTTGCTCAGTTGCTAAGGTCCTTTTAAAAGAAGTCAAAGCCATACTCACCTGAGTAACCTTCACTCATATATATCTTTCCGTTGAAGTCACGGACCAGCCATAACCCCAGGGTTTTCAGGACAGGACTCTTGTTGTTCTGGTAAATTCTGTCCCAGTCTATCCCAGTTTGAGCCAGAAAATGTCCGGATAGCTGTCCATGGTCGCTGTGGGTTAGTGGTACATGGATTAGTAGGTAGCACATGGGATCCACCTGGCACTCATCTCTTAGACACATGGAGAAGGAAAACGAGTCCTCCCTTTACTACTCCCACCCTGGGCTGTGACTAAGTCCTTGTCCTGGGGGCAGCCACGTTCCTGCTTTTATGGTTATGGGGAAGGAGAACTAGACACAGAATTGTGCCAAGATGGCAAATATATGTACTATTATTTTTTTTTCTGTGTTTTGGCCCTTCTTCACAAGCCTCAGTTAGCTGCTGTGTATTTTTACAGGCTTATTGGGAACAAAAAAAACCACGTATGGTTCAGACTAAGCAATTATTGCAGGGTAGCGACAGGAGGAGAGAAGGGGATGCTGCAGGGGGGCTCCTTAGGATTGACTGATGCAGCCTTGCCAAGCTAACAAGGCTGGTTGAATTTGTACATCACTGGTTGCTTGCCAGAGCTCCCAAATCATCGGTGGTTTCTCCAGGCTGGGAGAACCAAGTTCTCCTGTAACACCAGCCACGCTCAATGACCTTCTTTCTCTCTAGGCTTCGCCTCCACGATGGGAAGCTCATTAAGGACCGACGTTACCACCTCCGAACCTACCCAAACTGCTTCGTGGCCAAGGAGCTCACGGACTGGTTGATTGACCACAAAGAAGCACCGGACCGAGAGACGGGCATCCGCCTCATGCAGAAGCTGATGGACCACTACATCATCCATCACGGTGAGTGGGTTTCTCTGCTCCCCGTTGAGTCTCCCTGGGGATGGGGGTTGTGTATCTGGTCCCCGTGTGATGACAACCAGATGACAACCACACCAAATCCAGCCCTCTCTTCCCCCCTCTCCTCCAGGGTCCAGGACCAGCTGCCTGGGCCCACTGCAATGCAAACACTCTCTGTTGCTCCCTGCTACTTGCTGAGGTTAATGCCCTTTACATTAAGCTGCCTCGAATAAAAATAAACTCTGCTTTATCACAAAAGCGTAAAGCTGAAGCAGTGAGTTCTCAGTTAACCATTAACACTTAAAACTGATTATTTTTCCATCTCTCCAGCCGGCAGTTTGAAACAAATCCATTAGTTAATTAAACCTGTGCAGTGCTGGGTACCAGGGCTGCTTTGATGGCTTATTGTGGACACGTCCCTCCTGTTTCTGTGACAATTCCTGGCAGGAAGCAGATGTTGACTTTCCAACTTTCGCCTTATGACGGTTAATTTTTGTTAGTCCTTTGGAAAGGGGGCTGCCTGTGTGAACCACAGCCCTGTGCTAAGTGCTTTGCAATTGGCTGCCTAAACTGTTTGCCCTCTTCTCCGCTGGGATCCAGAAGACGGTAATTATCTCATGAAGATCATTGTCTGTGCTGCCTCTTAATGGCCCGATGTGGTTTGAGCTGTTATTCTGTATATTCTCCATATTATATGCTGGAAACGGGTTGAAATTAGTCTTCAAATAGCAGAAGTGCTTTGGTTTTTTGGCCCGATGTGGTTTGAGCTGTTATTCTGTTATATGCTGGAAACGGGTTGAAATTGGTCTTCAAATAGCAAAAGTGCTTTGGTTTTCTATGGGCACAGTCCTGAGAGGTTTTATGTTCAATTCCCAATTGCAATGACAATCCCAGTCCTTGCTCCCCGGAGCTGTTAAGAGGGAAAACTTCACCTTTTAAAACAACCTTCTTGCTTGATGAGCCATGGGCTTTTTAGCGTCCTGGTTTCCCATCAAGGGAACTGCTCAGGAGGAGGGATGAACTCTGGACAATCTGACAGTTTTTAGCATTTTAGCCTTCACCAAAAGGGGAGTGAAGTTTTGCTGGTCTGCTCCAAAGAGTCAACAAGTGTTAAAATTTTCAAAAGGAGTATCTTGCATCTTTTGATTTTCACTCTAGTGGATTATGGTACTTTAGTGAGTAAATCTTTGGGGATTTTTTTTTTTTCCTTTCACTTAATTTTCTTTGTTTTCTGGGCATATTATTTACTCTGTGTTTGTTGGGTTTTTTACTGCTGAATTTTCTCCTTCTTGCTTCAGACGGGTGGAGCTGAAGAAAGGCAGACTGATTTAGGAGCTGGACTGTGATTTTGGGGCTGGTTTTTTTTTTCTGTAATCTAGGAATCTCTAGCAGGCAAGTTTATCTCAGAGCTGTATCCCAAATATTTACCTGTTAAATGTTGCATGCACTTAACAGCCATGCATTTGCAGACAGCGTGCTCATCCCTAAGGAGAATTTGAGGCTGTTCAAATAGATGTGATTATTCCAGTTGTGTGTACCTAGCTTTGAAGAAAAACTTCTCTCTTGAGGTCAGTTCGCCATTCAGATGAATTGTGCAGGATTGGCACAAAAATGGTGTGGAAAATTCGGTGTCATTATTTGTTTTAGCTTGTGAGTATTTCTGACAGGGACAGAGGTGATTTTTATGGGGCTTTGGATGCAGTGTGGGGTTTTTTCCTCCTCTCCTCCAAGTCTACTTATATGTGGCAGTAGCTTTCTAAGAAAAGAGACAGGTCTGTTTGTTTTCTTTTAGTCTTTCTTTAAAGTCAAAATTTAAACTAAAAATAAAACCAAACAAGACTGCACCCCTCTCCAAAAAAAACCAAAAAGGGCTAAAAACCCCCAAATTCAAACCAAAATCCTTCTCACAGAAAAGAGACAGGTCTGTTTGTTTTCTTTTCGTCTAAACCAAAGCATCAAAATTTAAATTAAAAATAAAACCAAACAATTTTTTCCTCCTCTCCTCCAAGTCTACTTATATGTGGCAGTAGCTTTCTAAGAAAAGAGACAGGTCTGTTTGTTTTCTTTTCGTCTAAACCAAAGCATCAAAATTTAAATTAAAAATAAAACCAAACAAGAATGCCCCCCCTTCAAAAAAAAAAAAAAGGGCAAAAAAAACCCCAAATCCAAACCAAAGACCTTCTCAGTTTGCTCTAATGAATATTTTAGAGTCTGCATCAAAATGTAGACTCAAACTGAAGTTTGTCCAAGGTCTCTGCAGTGGGACTGGCCTCTCCCACCAGTACAGGCTGCAGGCGTTAGTGCCTAATTTGGGGACCAGATGCTGGTTGCCACGTGGTATCAAGGACATAAAGAAGGACATCGCATGCAGCCCCTATGGCTTTTAACCTGGAGATAACACCCCGCTGAGGCTGCAGCTCTGTCTGTCCCATCACGGATGGATGGACACCCTCAGAACTGATGTCCCTGCTCTCAACTCCTTTCAGTCTGTGACGAGCACTCGGACTACAAGGATGCCAAGCTGCTCTACCGCTTCCGCAAGGACGACGGGACCTTCCCCCTCACCAAGGACGTGAAGGTGTTCATGAGAGGGCAGAGCCTTTACGAGAAGTACGTGAGTCCTTCCCCTGCAAAACAGCCCTCAGCCAGGGGTGCTGGGAGCAGGCTCTGCTGGCTGCGCTCGCTGGGGATGCTCTAGGGTGGGAGCCACGGCTCCAGCTGGCTTTTCTCTTCCTTCTCTGTGCCCTGTGCTGGGAAATGCTGCTTTCTGAGCTCTGTCACAGAACGCAGGACAACCAGCCTCTTTGGGGCTGGGACAGGAGCTGTGCTCTGAACTCATGGATGTTTTCAAGGTCTCCAACCGAAGTGCAGGTTCTGGGATCGGTACAGGATCCAGTCTGTAGTTTGAGCATTCCTGGGATGGGCACTCCATTGACCATTCCCAACACACCCCCAGCCTCCTTGGGTGAGCTGCTTCTACCAGCACTATTAGGACTTATGTCCCAGCAGGGTACAGGAGTTCAGGGCCCTCATGGACCTGGATTTCTGCACCTCACTGAACCTATTTGCAAAATATGTAGAAGGAAAAAAGACTTCTCAGGCAGTAAAGAAAACCCATTCCACCTCCAAGTGTTTAGTTTTCTTCGTGTTGATCATTTCTGGTTCCAAATCCAAATCATCTTCCCAGGCATCTCTGGGAAGGTAATTTTATTACACTGGGTTTCAGCACAAACCGCTTGACCCATTGCCTTCAGCGGCCTCTCCACACCTTCTCCATCCTCACGCCCTGGCAGTCAGATTCACAAACTGGCGCTGAGGGAGAAGTCCTTCAGGCAGGAGGGGTGGTGATTTTGGGTGTCTCAGGGACCCTCAGGCAGACCCTCATCCCTGGGACCAGCGGTGGGACCAGGCGAGCACCCAGCGCCTCTCACGGCTGAGCCCGCTGCGCCCTCTCGTGGACACACCGGGTTTAGCGCTTCCATACGCTGCAAACCGAGTGTGTGGTCACTGAAAAGCACTTTCTCCATCACAGAATCACACAGAATTATCTAGGCTGAAAGAGACCCTCGGGATCATCGAGTCCAGCCATCCACCCTACTCTAAAGTACTCCCCTACACCACATCTAAACGGTTCTTAAACGCAGCCAGGGATGGTGACTCAACCCCCTCCCTGGGCAGCCTGTTCCAATGCCCGACCACTCTTTCTGTGAAGAATTGTTTCCTAATGTCCAGTCTAAACCAACCCTGGCGCAGCTTGAACCCATTACCCCTTGTCCTATCATCTGTAACTTGGGAGAAGAGACCGACCCCCGCCTCTCTACACCCTCCTTTCAGGGAGTTGTAGAGAGCAATAAGGTCTCCCCTCAGCCTCCTTTTCCCCAGACTGAACAACCCCAGCTCCCTCAGCCTCTCCTCATAAGACTTACTCTCCAGACCCCTCACAAGCTTCGTTGCCCTTCTCTGGACCCACTCCAGTACCTCAACTCGGACTATCTGCTATTTGTTGCGTGCACTGGGTGGCTTGCTTGGCTTTCCCCTGCGGTTTTTAGCTGAGGTCGCAGCTGAACTGGTTTTACTGGAGCTGCTTCCTCCGCTGTGATGAAGATTTACAAAGCTCTGCATTTCTCCCTGCCTTCCCAGCAGTGATGTTTGGGCTGTAACGCTTTGCCCGCTTCTCTTGGCCTTGCTTTGCCCGGCTTGCAGCTCCTGCATGGGACAGCAGGGCATCACGGGGGACTGTCCCACCTCTGTGCCAGGCTGGTGAGCGTGGAAGAGTCAATTCTGAAGGTGAGAGAGGAGAACTCGGTGAAGTACCAGAGGACTTTCCTGGGCTGCGAGATGATCGACTGGCTGGTTCAGGAGGGAGAAGCAGAGAACCGAAAGGAAGCGGTGGAGCTGGGCCGGGCGCTGCTGGAACATGGGATCATTCAGCATGGTGAGCAAGGGTCCAGCTGGAGACGGGATGGAAAGCAAGAGATGAGCGGAGCTGTCAAGCCTATGCTGGGAACAAATCCCCATTCATGGCGGGCAACAAGAGCTGGTCAAGTGCCCACTTGGAGATGGCAAAGGGGCCTTTTAGTTCTATGTTTGGAGCTGGTGACCTTTGAAATCGGAGCAATCTTCCACCACCCACAAAAGCTTTGAGTTGAAATCTGAGCTATTGCTCTTCAGTTCTTCAAAGCCTCCGGCCGCAGGACTGGGATCCACTCCTGGGTTTTGAGGGCTGGGTTGTGAGGGTGTAATGTTCAGCCTCGCTTGGCTGGAGATCATAACCCTCTGCAGGAATTAAACTTTTGATTCAGAAGGCAGGGAGTCCTTCTGTGTTAGAGGGCTGTGAGTCAGTAGTACACCCCTGGGAGGTAGCATCTCTTGGGGAGGTGGCCCTTCTGTTCCACCTTCCCTGCAGGTAGCCTTCTCAAACAGTCAGAGAAACTGCAATAGACCATAGGGTCATTAAAAGCAATTCATTTGGGGCCCTCAGTATATTTCCTTCATGTTTTTCACACCCCCTCAGCCTCTTCTCCCTCCCCTGTTCTCTCCCAGTCTCCAATAGGCATCACTTCTTTGACAGTGATGTCCTCTACCAATTCTGGATCAACTTTCGCCGGAGGCGTCGTCTCACAGAGTTACTCAATGAAAACTCTTCTCGTGCCCTGTCCGAGAGCCCAGACAGCCCCTTTTGCCTTCGAAAGCTCAACCCGGACCCCGGCAACACCAGCTTTCTCTCAGGTAACAGTGGATGTATTTGTGGAGGGGTGTGAAAGCCAGGATTCCATCACCAGAGTATCCCAGAGCTGAGGCTGTTGCTCCAGCAGAGCGTAGGATGTACCTCCAGGCGTTGTATAAAGTGATCACTCATCCCACTGGTTTGTGGTGCATGTCATGATGCAGCTGCAGTCTCTCTATCAGAGCTCCCCATCCCAGGAAAATAACTCAATTTACCGTCAACTTGGTTCGTGGTCCTTCTTTGAAGTTAGTTTTATTCTTTCTCAAGAAATGGCTCAAATGCCATCTTCAGCATATGCTTACCTTTCAGAGGGGGTGTCAGGCTGATGGGGAAGTTTTTAATTTCAAGCTAGTCTGCTCCCTACTTGGGTAACTGTTATTTCTGCCTCTTTCAGTCCAGACCAACAAGGAGATCAAAATTGTCTCAGCAGTTCGAAGGAGCAGCATCACTTCTCTCACTGGAAACTCCAACCCCTACTTCAGCCCTGCTCCTACCTTGGTGTTCCCTCCTGTGGCCGAGTGCAACCCCAAATCAGGTCTGGGCTTCTGCAATGCCCTGTCGTGGCACAAGATGCATCTATTTCTTCAGGGCGTGGGGCAGCTCAAGCCTCAGCTCCCAACCCCTTCACTGTCACCTTGGTGACTTGCCAGAGGAGAGGGTCAGCCTCACCTCTGAGTCTTGATTTGAAACGTGCAAGCGTTTTGAAAACCATTGAGATGGATGCAAAGATTTCTGTGTGCAGTAGCTGTGGCTGGTTCCAACATCTGTTCTCCAGCCCATAGTAATCCCCAAAGCTGCCTCGTTATGCACTCACTGTACGAAACCCTTGATTCTGATAGGATCTGTCAACTTCTGCTCTAGTGTTAAAGAGACCCGTCACCAATGAAGAGCTCCTGTCCCCTGGGGCCCCCTACATCAAGAAAACACTAACTGTAAGTGACCACAGCGAATGGCATTGCCAACCCGACGGTGCTGAGTGCCCTGACTGCTCTCTGATAGCTTTCCATTTGCTGCTCTGACCCCTGCCTGTTGAACCTTTGATGGGATGTCACATCACCATGGCTCTTTCTTGGCGTCTCTCAGTGGGTCCAGTCTCTGCAAACAGTCATGAGTGAAAATGGGCACAGCCTCTGCGGTAATTTGATGTATATTTAAGGGGCAGATCAGGAAAGAGAATGTTTCCTGGGCAGGAAAACTCCCATTTAGGTTTCATTCAGCTTGACACTATAGACTTGGTCAAGTCTTGTGACAGCTGAGACTTTGACATGCATCCCCTGTCACGCAGTTATCACCTTTATGCATGGCTTTATGCAGCTTTCAGGTTTCTACTGCCAGATGTGTTGATATGATCCATCAGCATCTGATGGAGCAGCACTCAACAGGGAGCATCTGAGGGACACTCTTTCCTTTCTTATGACGGGCTTTTTTCATGGCCAAAATAAACAGACCGCAAAATCTCCAGGATGCTGCAGACAACCTGAGCTTTGGGTTTTTTGTTGTCTAATTGTTTCCAAAGCTGTAGGACCGGTCAAGGCAGGGCTGGTAGGTGCTGGCTGTGAACGTTCCAAGGCAGTTCCTGCCCTGCGGATCCTATCGTGTTTGTTTATTTTTGTGTAAAACTTCTCAGCCCTTTCCTACCCACATTTGAAAGGGGGAATCCCACGGTGACCAGTTTAGGAAGCGCGAGGGCTGCCTTGCTGTACTGGTTTGACACAAGTGGGGTTCCAGGGAAACTGTGGATCAGGTTCCCAAATTAAATGTGCTGTAGAAATTGGTGGGAAGGAGCAAGAAAAATCAAGTGGGTGATTAGCGTGGCATATATGAGGACATGCCGTTCATTCTCCTCCTGAATGCTCTTGCCCTGCCCTTCAACTCTGCCAGCCTGGGTCTTTCATGGCTCATTTCCTTCTGCTTAGCTGTGCAGTTGCTGTTATTTATTTATATGGGTGATGTGCAAAGTCCTTTGGGAATTCCTCTTCTCTTTTAGTCACATCAGATGGCCACGGTATTACAGCAAACTGCTCTGACAGGCTGGGATCAGAGGGGGAAAAAATTAAGAGTGGCTACTTCCACCCTGGAAATGCTCTCCTGTGCCAAGGAAAAGGCACGGTGTACGTGCTCTGGAAATGTTCTCCACACGCTCTTGGTGCATGCCTTGCACTTCAACTTCACACCGCCTGTGCTCACTCTTCTGAGTCTTCTGGCAGGGAATATTAATCAGAAAGCAGCTTTGCAGAGAGCAATTAACCTGTGGTTCTGTGTCTCACTACGCAGAATTATAGAATACCGGGTTGGAAGGACCTCAAGGATCAGCTGGTCCAACCTTTCTTGGCAAAAACATGGTCTAGACAGGATGGCCCAGCACCCTGTCCAGCTGAATCTTAAAAGTGTCAAATGTGGGAGAATCCACAACTTTCCTGGGCAGATTATTCCAATGGCTGGTTGTTCTCATGTCCAGCTGAATCTTAAAAGTGTCAAATGTTGGGGAATCCACGACTTCCCTGGGGAGATGATTATTCCAATGGCTGGTTGTTTTCAAATCTCCCCAGGAGTAATTTGTACCCATCACCCCTCGGGTTTTACATGTGACTCCTTGTAAAAAGAGAGTCTCCCCCTTCTCAGTAGCCACCCTTTGTAACACCACTTGGTGCACAGCCCTTTGTCTCCCATCCTTGACAGATTAGGATCATGAGCAGAGCTCTCCATCTCACTAGGAGCTGTTGCATCTCCTCTATCCAGCCCATTCCTTGGTTTTTAAACCTTTTTCTTCTGCTTGTAGATTGTGGGGGATGCGGTGGGCTGGGGGTTTGTGGTCCGAGGAGGAAGACCTTGCCACATCCAGGCAGTGGACCCAGGAGGACCTGCTGCTGCTGCAGGGATGAAGGTAATTCTTGCTCGTGGTGTCTTAACAGGAGGCAGGACTTATCTTGGTTGGTCTTTTCAGGCTGAACACATTCTCTGTGATAATCCCATGTCCCACAGTGGAGATCAGTCCGATGGATCGGTGCTGGAGCTCTGGCAGTGCTGTGAGGGATGGGGGAAGGATGCTCTCTGCAGGCAAAGTGCCCTGGAGTTAGGCTTGACTGAAAGAAAGGTTGGGTTTCACAATTCCCTATTAAAAACCCAGCAGTAAGGGAATAATTCCTACAATTTGATATAAGTCACAGGGATATTTGAAATAATAGGATTCTTCAGAGGCAGAGTGTGACTCCTTGTTTGCTTCGGGCGGGATTGGAAGGGGATGGATGAATTTGTTTCATTTACTCAAGAGCCCAGTTAATTTCTCTTTACCTAATCTCATTTGCTACTAAATTGCTGGATGTTAATATTGTACTTCATTTCCATCTGTGAGACGAACCACTGCTCATAAATGAGTCTTTTTTTTTCTCTGTTAGCTCACAGTCAAAATCCCTTTGGTTCCTTTTTTTTTTTTCTTTTTTGCCAAGCTGCTCTACCGCTTCCGCAAGGACGACGGGACCTTCCCCCTCACCAAGGACGTGAAGGTGTTCATGAGAGGGCAGAGCCTTTACGAGAAGTACGTGAGTCCTTCCCCTGCAAAACAGCCCTCAGCCAGGGGTGCTGGGAGCAGGCTCTGCTGGCTGCGCTCGCTGGGGATGCTCTAGGGTGGGAGCCACGGCTCCAGCTGGCTTTTCTCTTCCTTCTCTGTGCCCTGTGCTGGGAAATGCTGCTTTCTGAGCTCTGTCACAGAACGCAGGACAACCAGCCTCTTTGGGGCTGGGACAGGAGCTGTGCTCTGAACTCATGGATGTTTTCAAGGTCTCCAACCGAAGTGCAGGTTCTGGGATCGGTACAGGATCCAGTCTGTAGTTTGAGCATTCCTGGGATGGGCACTCCATTGACCATTCCCAACACACCCCCAGCCTCCTTGGGTGAGCTGCTTCTACCAGCACTATTAGGACTTATGTCCCAGCAGGGTACAGGAGTTCAGGGCCCTCATGGACCTGGATTTCTGCACCTCACTGAACCTATTTGCAAAATATGTAGAAGGAAAAAAGACTTCTCAGGCAGTAAAGAAAACCCATTCCACCTCCAAGTGTTTAGTTCTCTTTGTGTTGATCATTTCTAAATCCAAATCATCTTCCCAGGCACCTCTGGGAAGGTCATTTTATTACACCGGGGTTCAGCACAAACCACCCTCTGGACCCGTTGCCTTCAGCAGCCTTCCACACCTTCTCCATCCTCACGCCCTGGCAGTCAGATTCACAAACTGGCGCTGAGGGAGAAGTCCTTCAGGCAGGAGGGGTGGTGATTTTGGGTGTCTCAGGGACCCTCAGGCAGACCCTCATCCCTGGGACCAGCGGTGGGACCAGGCGAGCACCCAGCGCCTCTCACGGCTGAGCCCGCTGCGCCCTCTCGTGGACACACCGGGTTTAGCGCTTCCATACGCTGCAAACCGAGTGTGTGGTCACTGAAAAGCACTTTCTCCATCACAGAATCACACAGAATTATCTAGGCTGAAAGAGACCCTCGGGATCATCGAGTCCAGCCATCCACCCTACTCTAAAGTACTCCCCTACACCACATCTAAACGGTTCTTAAACGCAGCCAGGGATGGTGACTCAACCCCCTCCCTGGGCAGCCTGTTCCAATGCCCGACCACTCTTTCTGTGAAGAATTGTTTCCTAATGTCCAGTCTAAACCAACCCTGGCGCAGCTTGAACCCATTACCCCTTGTCCTATCATCTGTAACTTGGGAGAAGAGACCGACCCCCGCCTCTCTACACCCTCCTTTCAGGGAGTTGTAGAGAGCAATAAGGTCTCCCCTCAGCCTCCTTTTCCCCAGACTGAACAACCCCAGCTCCCTCAGCCTCTCCTCATAAGACTTACTCTCCAGACCCCTCACAAGCTTCGTTGCCCTTCTCTGGACCCACTCCAGTACCTCAACTCGGACTATCTGCTATTTGTTGCGTGCACTGGGTGGCTTGCTTGGCTTTCCCCTGCGGTTTTTAGCTGAGGTCGCAGCTGAACTGGTTTTACTGGAGCTGCTTCCTCCGCTGTGATGAAGATTTACAAAGCTCTGCATTTCTCCCTGCCTTCCCAGCAGCGATGTTTGGGCTGTAACGCTTTGCCCGCTTCTCTTGGCCTTGCTTTGCCCGGCTTGCAGCTCCTGCATGGGACAGCAGGGCATCACGGGGGACTGTCCCACCTCTGTGCCAGGCTGGTGAGCGTGGAAGAGTCAATTCTGAAGGTGAGAGAGGAGAACTCGGTGAAGTACCAGAGGACTTTCCTGGGCTGCGAGATGATCGACTGGCTGGTTCAGGAGGGAGAAGCAGAGAACCGAAAGGAAGCGGTGGAGCTGGGCCGGGCGCTGCTGGAACATGGGATCATTCAGCATGGTGAGCAAGGGTCCAGCTGGAGACGGGATGGAAAGCAAGAGATGAGCGGAGCTGTCAAGCCTATGCTGGGAACAAATCCCCATTCATGGCGGGCAACAAGAGCTGGTCAAGTGCCCACTTGGAGATGGCAAAGGGGCCTTTTAGTTCTATGTTTGGAGCTGGTGACCTTTGAAATCGGAGCAATCTTCCACCACCCACAAAAGCTTTGAGTTGAAATCTGAGCTATTGCTCTTCAGTTCTTCAAAGCCTCCGGCCGCAGGACTGGGATCCACTCCTGGGTTTTGAGGGCTGGGTTGTGAGGGTGTAATGTTCAGCCTCGCTTGGCTGGAGATCATAACCCTCTGCAGGAATTAAACTTTTGATTCAGAAGGCAGGGAGTCCTTCTGTGTTAGAGGGCTGTGAGTCAGTAGTACACCCCTGGGAGGTAGCATCTCTTGGGGAGGTGGCCCTTCTGTTCCACCTTCCCTGCAGGTAGCCTTCTCAAACAGTCAGAGAAACTGCAATAGACCATAGGGTCATTAAAAGCAATTCATTTGGGGCCCTCAGTATATTTCCTTCATGTTTTTCACACCCCCTCAGCCTCTTCTCCCTCCCCTGTTCTCTCCCAGTCTCCAATAGGCATCACTTCTTTGACAGTGATGTCCTCTACCAATTCTGGATCAACTTTCGCCGGAGGCGTCGTCTCACAGAGTTACTCAATGAAAACTCTTCTCGTGCCCTGTCCGAGAGCCCAGACAGCCCCTTTTGCCTTCGAAAGCTCAACCCGGACCCCGGCAACACCAGCTTTCTCTCAGGTAACAGTGGATGTATTTGTGGAGGGGTGTGAAAGCCAGGATTCCATCACCAGAGTATCCCAGAGCTGAGGCTGTTGCTCCAGCAGAGCGTAGGATGTACCTCCAGGCGTTGTATAAAGTGATCACTCATCCCACTGGTTTGTGGTGCATGTCATGATGCAGCTGCAGTCTCTCTATCAGAGCTCCCCATCCCAGGAAAATAACTCAATTTACCGTCAACTTGGTTCGTGGTCCTTCTTTGAAGTTAGTTTTATTCTTTCTCAAGAAATGGCTCAAATGCCATCTTCAGCATATGCTTACCTTTCAGAGGGGGTGTCAGGCTGATGGGGAAGTTTTTAATTTCAAGCTAGTCTGCTCCCTACTTGGGTAACTGTTATTTCTGCCTCTTTCAGTCCAGACCAACAAGGAGATCAAAATTGTCTCAGCAGTTCGAAGGAGCAGCATCACTTCTCTCACTGGAAACTCCAACCCCTACTTCAGCCCTGCTCCTACCTTGGTGTTCCCTCCTGTGGCCGAGTGCAACCCCAAATCAGGTCTGGGCTTCTGCAATGCCCTGTCGTGGCACAAGATGCATCTATTTCTTCAGGGCGTGGGGCAGCTCAAGCCTCAGCTCCCAACCCCTTCACTGTCACCTTGGTGACTTGCCAGAGGAGAGGGTCAGCCTCACCTCTGAGTCTTGATTTGAAACGTGCAAGCGTTTTGAAAACCATTGAGATGGATGCAAAGATTTCTGTGTGCAGTAGCTGTGGCTGGTTCCAACATCTGTTCTCCAGCCCATAGTAATCCCCAAAGCTGCCTCGTTATGCACTCACTGTACGAAACCCTTGATTCTGATAGGATCTGTCAACTTCTGCTCTAGTGTTAAAGAGACCCGTCACCAATGAAGAGCTCCTGTCCCCTGGGGCCCCCTACATCAAGAAAACACTAACTGTAAGTGACCACAGCGAATGGCATTGCCAACCCGACGGTGCTGAGTGCCCTGACTGCTCTCTGATAGCTTTCCATTTGCTGCTCTGACCCCTGCCTGTTGAACCTTTGATGGGATGTCACATCACCATGGCTCTTTCTTGGCGTCTCTCAGTGGGTCCAGTCTCTGCAAACAGTCATGAGTGAAAATGGGCACAGCCTCTGCGGTAATTTGATGTATATTTAAGGGGCAGATCAGGAAAGAGAATGTTTCCTGGGCAGGAAAACTCCCATTTAGGTTTCATTCAGCTTGACACTATAGACTTGGTCAAGTCTTGTGACAGCTGAGACTTTGACATGCATCCCCTGTCACGCAGTTATCACCTTTATGCATGGCTTTATGCAGCTTTCAGGTTTCTACTGCCAGATGTGTTGATATGATCCATCAGCATCTGATGGAGCAGCACTCAACAGGGAGCATCTGAGGGACACTCTTTCCTTTCTTATGACGGGCTTTTTTCATGGCCAAAATAAACAGACCGCAAAATCTCCAGGATGCTGCAGACAACCTGAGCTTTGGGTTTTTTGTTGTCTAATTGTTTCCAAAGCTGTAGGACCGGTCAAGGCAGGGCTGGTAGGTGCTGGCTGTGAACGTTCCAAGGCAGTTCCTGCCCTGCGGATCCTATCGTGTTTGTTTATTTTTGTGTAAAACTTCTCAGCCCTTTCCTACCCACATTTGAAAGGGGGAATCCCACGGTGACCAGTTTAGGAAGCGCGAGGGCTGCCTTGCTGTACTGGTTTGACACAAGTGGGGTTCCAGGGAAACTGTGGATCAGGTTCCCAAATTAAATGTGCTGTAGAAATTGGTGGGAAGGAGCAAGAAAAATCAAGTGGGTGATTAGCGTGGCATATATGAGGACATGCCGTTCATTCTCCTCCTGAATGCTCTTGCCCTGCCCTTCAACTCTGCCAGCCTGGGTCTTTCATGGCTCATTTCCTTCTGCTTAGCTGTGCAGTTGCTGTTATTTATTTATATGGGTGATGTGCAAAGTCCTTTGGGAATTCCTCTTCTCTTTTAGTCACATCAGATGGCCACGGTATTACAGCAAACTGCTCTGACAGGCTGGGATCAGAGGGGGAAAAAATTAAGAGTGGCTACTTCCACCCTGGAAATGCTCTCCTGTGCCAAGGAAAAGGCACGGTGTACGTGCTCTGGAAATGTTCTCCACACGCTCTTGGTGCATGCCTTGCACTTCAACTTCACACCGCCTGTGCTCACTCTTCTGAGTCTTCTGGCAGGGAATATTAATCAGAAAGCAGCTTTGCAGAGAGCAATTAACCTGTGGTTCTGTGTCTCACTACGCAGAATTATAGAATACCGGGTTGGAAGGACCTCAAGGATCAGCTGGTCCAACCTTTCTTGGCAAAAGCATGGTCTAGACAGGATGGCCCAGCACCCTGTCCAGCTGAATCTTAAAAGTGTCAAATGTGGGAGAATCCACAACTTTCCTGGGCAGATTATTCCAATGGCTGGTTGTTCTCAAATCTCCCCAGGAGTAACTTGTACCCATCACCCTTTGGTTTTTTCATGTGACTCCTTGTAAAAAGGGAGTCTCCCCCTTCTCAGTAGCCACCCTTAGAAGCACCACTTGGTGCACGGCCCTTTGTCTCCCATCCTTGACAGATTAGGATCATGAGCAGAGCTCTCCATCTCACTAGGAGTTGTTGCATCTCTTCTATCCAGCCCTTTCCTTGGTTTTTAAACCTTTTTCTTCTGCTTGTAGATTGTGGGGGATGCGGTGGGCTGGGGGTTTGTGGTCCGAGGAGGAAGACCTTGCCACATCCAGGCAGTGGACCCAGGAGGACCTGCTGCTGCTGCAGGGATGAAGGTAATTCTTGCTCGTGGTGTCTTAACAGGAGGCAGGACTTATCTTGGTTGGTCTTTTCAGGCTGAACACATTCTCTGTGATAATCCCATGTCCCACAGTGGAGATCAGTCCGATGGATCGGTGCTGGAGCTCTGGCAGTGCTGTGAGGGATGGGGGAAGGATGCTCTCTGCAGGCAAAGTGCCCTGGAGTTAGGCTTGACTGAAAGAAAGGTTGGGTTTCACAATTCCCTATTAAAAACCCAGCAGTAAGGGAATAATTCCTACAATTTGATATAAGTCACAGGGATATTTGAAATAATAGGATTCTTCAGAGGCAGAGTGTGACTCCTTGTTTGCTTCGGGCGGGATTGGAAGGGGATGGATGAATTTGTTTCATTTACTCAAGAGCCCAGTTAATTTCTCTTTACCTAATCTCATTTGCTACTAAATTGCTGGATGTTAATATTGTACTTCATTTCCATCTGTGAGACGAACCACTGCTCATAAATGAGTCTTTTTTTTTCTCTGTTAGCTCACAGTCAAAATCCCTTTGGTTCCTTTTTTTTTTTTCTTTTTTTTATGATATAGAGATCGCAGCACAATGGTTATCAGTGTAGTTTATGGAGTGGTAACACTTGTGGGTTTGCAGGATTTTGCAGCAGGTTATTTGCATTGCAGCCTCTGGCTCTGGTCAGTCACGGGAGGAAGCTGCCATGAAGACATGGGCTGAAGGTCACCTGCCCTTCCTCTCCTTGCAGGTCTGCCAGTTTGTTTTCTCAGTGAATGGAATGTACGTTTTGCACCTGGACTATCAGACCATCAGCAGCCTCATCATGACAGGACCACGGACTCTCGTGATGGAGGTCATGGAAGCCATTGAATGAGTGAAGGCATCTTGTCCCACCGCTCTTTGGAAAGGCAGGAGGCTCCACTAAGCAAGGATGGACTGTGGGGAGGAGGGACCAAGCTGTACCATTCACTGTGAAATGTTAGCCAGGCATTTTAATATATTTTCCAATAAATGCACTCTAAGGGACAAGTCTCACATTTTGATGTTGTTTGAAATATTTGGCTCTTGAGAGGGTCCAAGCTCTTGCAACTCTTTTTTAATGGCAGTGGGGAGAGTTCAACACATCACGAAAACAGCCATTCACCCGGCCAAGCTGCAGGGCAGGTGGTACAAGCTGGTGAGCAGCAATAAGTCTGATACCAAGTGAGTGAGAAAGTCTGAGCTCCCTCGAGTTGTCTGCACAGTCTGTCGAGAACATAATGTGCTTTCCAGATGGCCCAGTAAACCCTGCCATCGACTCTGTCAAGAAAATAAGGCAATGACTGCAGCGATGTACGCTTCCGTGTAAAGACAGTCTAAGGCTCCTGCTACTCTCTTGGCTTTGCCAAGCTCACGGCCAGGGCTGGCTGCTCTTCCCAGCTGAGTTTCTTGTAAAGGTGAGACTTCCATCCTTGGGCTTTTTGTGCCTCCACACCCCAATAATGCTTAAATTCTTTAACCGGCTTCATCTCAGGGTGGAGCTGGGCAGAGGTCCCAAATGTCATAGGCTGCCACCAGCCTGGGAAAGGAGAGACCCCAAACAGTGTCTGCCCAAAAGGAAATGTGTCATTGTCTGAGTTTGGCTCTGGGAGGGAACAGAAATGAGTGAAAGCCACCAAAATCCATCCCCTCCCTGGGCCCTGCTGCTCCAATTCCTACGATTTGCAGATGATGCAGAATATTCATGTGCAAACTACCCTGAAAGTGAACTAAATATAGAATAACAGGTAACGACAAGAAACTGGGGAGTTTTTTTAGCTTTCCAGTTGACAGAGCATCCTGCCTGTGATCAGCCTGCAGTGCTGATACAGCAGGATGATTTCCAACCCTCCTGTTTAGGGCAGGTCCCTCAGTGAAGCTCTTTTGGCCACCAACCAAATCTTAAGAAAACCCAACCTCAAACAAACAGAAAAAAAAGTCATTTTGATTTGTGTTAAAGTTTAAAATGGGGGCTGACTTTCTTGGAAAATCTGGTGTCAGCTGTATGTTAGGTATTGCATTACTGCTGGCTGCTTTTTTTCCCCTTGGTCTAAAGGGATATGTGCTCCCCCAGCGCTGGTGCAGAGGCTGTAGGACTGCTTGGAGTGGAGTGTTCCTGGAACATGGTCCAAGTAAGATGTTTGCATTGATAATCCACTGGGGACCTTCCAGCCCCTAAGTGAAACCAGACAATCTTTTAAGCCATTTGTCAATATGCTCACAGTTGTTATTTCTAGCCGTTCAGTGCACAAGCAAAGCAGCATCCATCTGCCTTTTTGCTTTTTTAAATTCTGCCTTGTGTTGCTGCTCGGGAGAATTTTGGGTGTCTGTGGTGGCTCCAAGGTTTAATCCAGTGTTGGGCTTGAACTAAAGTCAAAGCCAAGAGACCATGGCATTTTGTGGGCACCTTGGGTAAGGTAGGATAGAAAGCAACAGCCTGAACATAAACATTGGAAGAAGCTCCAGATTTTTCTGACATAAACAGATCACAAATTTTAGCTGTGTCTGAATTCCCCGAAAGTGAGGTGCAGAAGAGCTGTGCTCTTTCTGTTCTCACCTCCTCCTAGTTTCAAAGTAAACTGCAGCAAAACTGAGCAACTACTGAAATCCAGGAGGAATTACAGAAGAGGTAATTTGTGGTATTTACAGGTAGGGCAGTGACAGCTCTCTCTCTGCAGGCTACCAAATGCTCTGTGTTTAGTCTTAACAAGATTTAAGCGATTCCTTTTGGTGTTATCCTTTGACCTGTATATTGTGATGCTGTTAAATACTTACTAGATTATAAAGCAAAATGGCAATGAGCTACCAAATGTTTCTTTAGAGTGTACAAATGCTTAAGAACTCTGATTTTATTTCATTTTCTATCTTATTTGACACTTCCAAAGGTGACCATGTTTCCTATAGAATGGCAATTGCCAGTTTCTGGCAGCTCACTCTGTTGCAATGGGAGACTGATGCTGACAGTTCCCGGAGATGCAACTGAAAATCTGGCCTCCATGTGCAATGAGAAATGCCACTGTCAGTTGTTCCATTCCTGGCAAGGAGGACAAAATCTGAAGAAGTTCTGGCGTGGAGCTGGGCACCTCTCCCAGGCGCTCCCGGGGCTGGGGACCACATGCTGGTGGAGGCCAGGGCTGCATCCCACAGCTGGGGAGGCTGCAGCATCGTCGAGCTCCAGTTCATGATTCAGCCTCTGGCCTTGCAAAACTTACAGATGTGCTTAATTTCCTTAAATCAAATGCAAGGCAACTTGCCTTCAGTGCAAAGGCTGGGCTCTCACAAACATCTGATGGGACGTGAGCGGGGTGGGCTGACTTCATCCCCGGGAGTGTGACGGTGGGCGGGAGCCAGGACTTGTTGCTGCGCTCTAGGAAATCAGCGTGCAGCTTCCTAGGCATGTGTTCAGTACTTAGTTAGCAAAAACACTACAAGCTGTTTACTGTTTTTTGTAGAAAAACCTTGCTTTCCACGCAGGATTTATTCAGCTGTGCTTAGGGTCCAAGCAGCGCTCCGGGCGGCGTGGTGAGAGGGAGGTGGGGGGGGAAATCACTGCCCCTCTCCCCCGGCTCTCCCTCCCCTTCCTCATCCCTCCTGACGTCTGGGAATCGAAATCTCTCTCTCATCACGCCAAGGAGCAGACGAGGCGCCAAGGGCTGCTTCTCCCAGGATTTCAGAATGTAGCTGGATCCCTCGCACCTCCCGGCTGACTCCAAGGAAAGTCGTGCTGCTCCACGGAGGTTTGTGGTTCATTCCCTTTGGGGGTTCGGTTCCAGGGATGCTGAGGAGGGGCTGGATTGGGGATCGGTAGAGCAGGGAACTTCTGTGGGGTTTTGCTCTGTGGAAAACTTGGAGCTGGTGTGGTTCAGCTCGGGGCTGCCGGGGGTGGCCAGGTCTCAGCCTCCCACCACGAAGGAGCTTCAAGACTCACATTTGCTGCAGGTCGGGTCTAAATAATTCCAGGACTACTTTTAGCAAATGTTTTGGTGTGATGGATGTAAGAAATGCACTTTGTTCGTTGGCTTGTGGGTTTTTTTCCTTCTCTTTTGTGGTTAATAATATAAAACCTGCAGGAAATTGCTGCCCCTCCAGTACTTGGAAGGGTTTATTAGCAAGGGCAGTTGCCTGGGTGGGTTTTTCCTGCCTGGAGGTGTGGTGTGGCATCAAACTGATGTTCCTAAGACTGTACAGGCTGTGGGGAGCTCCAAAGGCTGATCTTAGAGATGAAACTTGTGCCTTACTTTTTTCAGACTGGTGCTGGGATAATCGAGACTTTTTGTTCAATAGTGGAACTGCAGTACAGGAGATTTCCAGGAGAGAACAGAAAGGGTTTGGTGAATGTGAATTTTTTAAAATCTATTTTAGGTCCTTTAACTAGCAAAGTGTTCAGGGAGTGTGGGACAGATGTGGACCCTGCAGCTGGCCACCTCGGGCAGGTTGCTGGTCCCTTCTGCAGGGCAGTGAGTGGGCCACGAGGTGACACTGCTTCTGCCAGCGCTTCTGTGCAGAGATAGTGATGCCCTTTGGGATGAGGAACTATCCCCAGACTGGCTGCAGAGGGTGAAAATAATTCTGTCCCCAGATCTGCACTTTCAGTTGTGCTGATTTAAAAACGTGACATGGATTTTTTTGCATAGTTTTTTTTTTTTTTTTTTTCAATTAAAATGACTACTTTTAAAATTTCCTGTACAAATAAGGGGATCTCTGACTGCTTTAACCTCCAAATCCCCTCTGAGCACACAGCTGGGGCAGGCGGGAAGCGGTGCATCCCCCTCCACACCCATTTTCCAGGCCCTGGAAATGCCACATGCTGCATGTGTTGCTGTCTCCAAATTCCTTCCCTGGGTGAGTAACAGGAGGGAGGCCCCACCAGAGGCTGCCTGTCACCGTGGTCCCCTCCATCCCGGGGTCCAGAGCTCAGCCTGGCTGGATGGTGGCACCTGTGAGGGCAGAAATGGATGGGAAGGGACCGTGGAGACCTGGTGGGAAGGAGGGAGGCCCCACCAGAGGCTGCCTGTCCCTGTGGTCCCCTCCATCCCGGGGTCCAGCACCCAGCCTGGCTGGATGGTGGCACCAGCGAGGGCAGAAATGGGTGAGAAGGGACCGTGGAGACCTGGTGGGGGCTTGGGGTCCATCAGGTGACATGTGGACAGAGGGTTCTGCAGGGTGGGGAAGAGAGAGCTCCTCCAGTCATGTGTTTTCCACCATCTCAAACAGGTCCGTGTGTTATCCCTGCTTTACAGGTAGGAGATGAAAGTTGGAGAAGAGGCAAAATAGCGATGGGTTTCCTCTGAGTGGGGAAGAAGAGATTAAGTCCTTGTTCTTTCCCTTAATCACAGTAAAGATCCATAATGGGATCTTTATGGGAGATGGTGGCTCTCTAATGGGAGCTTACTGGATCCAAACTGGGTTAGTATTAAACTCACCCTTACCAACAGGTCGGGAGGAAGCTCCTGGCTGAATCAGATCCTGCAATAAGCCTGGTTCAGTGCAGGTGGCAGAAGCCCATGTCTTTATTTTGGATCCCGTATAACCCTGGTTAACATGAAAAGATCAGACACAATCCAGTGCTTTTACCAGAGTTTGGCAGCCCCTTTGCCAGCAGAGCCATGGGGAAGGTACAAGGAGATGGAGAGCAGCTTGGTGGAGTTGCAAAATGGCACAAATGAACTTGTGATTGGGGGAATTTTTTCAAAAACGCAGGCTTCTTGCTGCTGTTTGGTACAAGTACCCCTGCAGCCAGGGCAGGCGTTGTTTTTTTGGAGGTGACAGTCAGATTCCCAAAACCCACCTGTAAATTGTTTGATGCTTTTTTATAAGTGATGACTTCATTTACTGGCTGGAAAAAAAAAAAAAGAAAGCAAGTGTTTCCCATGGCCAAGGGCTTCAGTTACACTGCAGTTGTTCCATATAACCTGATCTTCAATCAAAAAAAAATAAATCACAGACTTGAGTACGGGGGTTAACATCTCCCTGTTATAACTTGCATATTTTTCCATTCATTCTTACAGCAATTTAGAAC